AGAATGAACCACGAGGTGCCCCGCCGTGCACGTCTTCCACCAAGCCATCGGTTAGTTCCAGCTGCTTTACCATGATTGCTGCAGCACTCAATCTTGGGAGTGTTGTATGCGGCAGGGAAGACACCGCTCACACACTCACTGCGAATGAGGGCCTTGAACAACCTGCATGTCGCTCGGTGGGCGCGACGGTCCGTGTCATCTGTACATCTGCGCGGGGATAAAATGCATACAACCGGGAGCCTTAAAGGTAGATATTGGATGACAAGCGACATGCGTTGTCAGGGCGCCATGGTACATAAATTCAACTAGTCGAATACGAGATGACTATGTGCCCAGCTCCGTTGCAGCTGTGATGCGAGCTCACGATGCAGTACTATCGCACGATCCTGAAGAGAGTCAAGGACTGTAGACGACCTTGCATCTGCCTTGGTTATCTAACGTAGCGTTCCGAGCTTCACCACACCTTCACGTATCAAGATGAGCTCGTCTAAGCCCCGCATCTTCAAAAAATCAAGCCCCGCCTAGCGAGATAACAAAGGTTTTGGTTCAAAACGCCTTGGAGTTTCTGCCTGTGGATCACATTTACCGCCGCGCTCCTCTTCGGCTACTCCGTGAACCCATGTTGCAAAGGTCAAATATAACTCAGCCTCACTTAGGCGATGTATCAACCGTGGGGTTTCAGTAAGTGAACATCGCAGAAGCGAGGGTGGGCTGAGAAGTCTAAAGCGTCGAGAGAAGTTACCCCGCATGCGCCTTCAGCCCGTAGCCGTCTATCTCTTATCGCTTCCGCAAGGGTTGCGGTTCCTGGCAACACGTTCCTGAACAGCCTGCCGCTAACGTGTTTCAAAAAATCGGTTGGGCAGCAACCACGCGGAACATAACGAGCGATCGAGTCAGCCTTCTCTCTGCCTTTGCGGCACAGTTGTCCTGCATCTCGAACAAAACCCATCCTGATCCTATCGAATAACGCGCGCTTTGTGGGCGCGTGCGTAGGATTCAGGTCGCCGATTATGCCGGCCGAAGTGACAAGACGTCAGTGTTGGGGATGCTGGCCCTTGCCTGACTCGGCGCGGATGACCGTTGAAACTTTAATTCCTCGAACTCCAGGGCGTAACGAGGGAACCCCTACAGGGACCTGGTTCGCGAAGCCGCGGGATGCGCAACACGGAAAGTCATGATCCCAGTAATAGTCGCCGTTCAGCATTTGACAAGATGCGACATCGCCTGTTCCTGAACCGCACGGGGTCCGGGGCAAGCGCATCAGGATCCCAGGCACAATGCCCATGATCCCAGCACCGGCGATCCAGCATCTACCATGGTTTGGAGTCAAGCGAGTGCTCATCAGGGGCTGTCATGGGCATCAATGTTGCGAACATCGACCCATGTTTCAACGGTTAAAGAGCCCGGAACGTTAGTGCAGGTACGGCAGCGGGTGGGATTGACTCGAACATGCAAAACATCACCCGTAGTGGGCAATCACTATATCCTACCAAACTATCGTCATCCTGCGGCAAGGCATGAAGACTCAATAGTGAGGCGTACGGCAGACTCACCTCAGCCATTCTGGAACAGTCGGCGTGCGCGGCTGCGGTTTGAGTCGTTCGCCAATCCTGAATTTTCGGGATAGGGAAAATTCGAGACGTTCGCTTGCTGCGCAGCGCATGACAATGATCGCTGAATGACGCCAATTGGCAATCATCATCGAGGCGAGCTGTATATCCCGCTTCCATTCTCACATCAACCTGAGTCGTGATCCATTCGCCAACAGAGGTATTTGCGACACCAGTTCATGCGTAGACCCGTTGTTGGGAATCGAAGAACATTTCTGGAGCAACGGATGTGTGCGTCTGACAGGGAGTGCAAGATTGACGGGACGGGTACGTCAATGACGGGCGCACGCGTCGTACTGTCGCTTGTACACAGCGACGCGAAGGTGTATTCGATGTCCTATCGTGCAAACCAGCGTTGCTCAGACTTGTCAGCTGCGAGGTCAAAAAAACGATTCACCGGCCTCAGCCCATCGAATGGCACGTGACACAAACCTCAAGGCTCGGAAAATGGTAGGAACAACCAGAACAATGCGGTGAATAGTTCTAGAAGTAACCTAGGAAGTACGCGTGCTCAGGCAACGTTGTTGGGAGCACCTCACACGAAGGGGTTTCGGTGGCCACTTCTGTACCTCGACATTCCTGTTCTCTTGCTTAGCCGGTTCCGTACCGTGTTACACAGCATCAGATATCAATCACGTGGACGATCTAGTGCAGGGTACCGCATGACCTAGCACGGCGAACATCGTAATGAACTTTTCGATGCTTATCGCCAGCACATTGTGCATTAGATGCTAGGGCAAAAATTAAAGGTCACCGGGACGCCCTCAGCCTTTTCACCATTGGCGGACTAGCCCAACATTATCTTCGAATTACGATGGAGACAAGGGCGAGAGCTAGCAATCTAACGCGATAATTGACTTTCGGGTGTAGGTTTCCTAGCCTCTTGCGCTACAACCTGCCACCACTGCTTGACGTAGGCCCGAATACAAAGGTACTACGAACCTTTCGGCCTCTTTCCTTGGATTTGCCAATGGTCAGGGGGTTCAAAGGACGGTAACGCAGGCCTTCACCGATCGATGGGGGGCGATGCGATTGCGTGTTCGCGATTTGATGCTCACGACGGTCTAGCCATTGCGCGCAACACCGCGAGCTAACGACATGAGCGAGAAAAGGGCCGAACCAAGTCGGACTGCGACACCAAGTACAGATCTGCCCCATTGCGCGTCCCCTCATCTACTGTTACTACCTTTGCTTATTTACTTTGACAGCTACGTAACACGCGTTTTTAGCTGTCGTCCAAGGCCCCTGTACTCATTTTCTTTTCTTTGGTAGAGCTGCACAATGTACAAGGCTATGTACTGCAGCTTCAACCTGCGAAGGAAGTACATCCGGCATTTGGACAACGTGTGAGCCAGTGAACGGGCTCGGCTGCGGACCGAACCGGCACTGTACCGAACAGCAATGTGTTGCAGAGAAAAGGAAGAAGCAACAAGAAAACGGACAATCCATCATCCCCGGGATAAGAAAAAAGAGTGTCACTGCAAGGATGCCCAAGATATGGTGGTAGGGAACACCGACGACATTTACCTTTCTTGCTTCTTCTTGCGGCTAGAGAGGACGAACTAAAGTGGCGCTGGACTGCTCACCTTTTTGCTTTTTGGCGCCGCGGAACGCAGGGTGAAGTTAAACGGGCTGCATAATACCCGTAATGCAAAAGTAACGGCTTTGTGAAATAAGTAATCTGGTTTCCAAAATACTGCCCAACTTTTGCTTCACCCGCAGAAGCGTGGATTGTACTCTATGTGCTACAACTATGTTCGTCATGATTGAGCAAGGGAATCCGAAAACGAAGGAAGCTGCAACTAATCCAGTACGGAACAGCAAGAGCCCCAAACACGACTCGCTCCAGGGTTTGGGGAAACTCGAGCTTCGCTGCAGAGACGACCTTAAGGTCCAAGCTCCTATCCAGCCCAGCAGGGCAGCAAAGAGCTGAGTCCAGTGCGTGCGCCCCCGCGGCATGACGATTAGGGCGCCTTACGTCGATTGCGCTGCCGAAACCACTTTACTGAGGAAAGAAAGCCAGTACCAACGCCAGTCCCTCGCTTCTCCAAGCTCGCGCTCGTCTCATCCCTGATCCAGATCGGGACAGCCCTTTGACACGAACCAAATGCGCAAACTTTCCAGCTGAGTATGGTGCGCGCGCGGGGAGACGGGATACCAAATGTCTCACGCTTGCGGGCATCTAGATCAGGCTCAACAGTTTGAGGATCTGTGTTCCTCGTATACGAGCCTCGTCATCGATCGTTATGCATTGCGATCGCTCCAGGCGATGTATCTGGATATGTATATATGTACTTTCGTGATGTATCAAGGATGTGCAAGGTGCGCCAGGTCAAGGTGTCCGAGCTTCGTGCAAAGGCGGGGAAGGGGGCCAACTGGTGCCGACTGAACCTGCAAGTCTCACATGCAATTTACGTTTTGGCCGTGTCCAGGATGCGGAAAGCCAGAACGAACGAATGCTGCTTTTCCTTGCGATCGGCATGTCTGTCGGCAAGGTATTTTCCGAAATTCAGTGTTCTTTTTCGGCGGGCTATGCCAAAGTTTGTTGCACATCGTTGCTACAACGGTGTTCAATGCGATGCCGAAAGCCCCGTCACGGGGGCTTAAAGCGGCAAGTACCAGCCGTTCATGAGCCAGACTTTTGCCGATCAGTGAAGTGTCAGTGGTGCTCCACCAAAACTAGGCTGCGCTTGACCATGATCAGATTGAGATCGGACGAAACTGACTAGTGACATCAGACGCACAATCGTATGGCACGTTGGATTCAGCATTAATCGCATTTCAAGCGTGATTGACCCTTTCGTTAGGCCGGTCTTGCGGCAAGGGTCGGTAACTATATTAGAAGCTACATATAGGTGCACAGCAGTGCGTACGAGGCCCATCGCGCCGTTTCAGACTCAGTGCAACGTATGAGGGCCGCCAGGCAAATGTAAATAGAACGTTTGAAAGCAGCAAATAGAAGCGTACAGAATATTGGCCCGCGTGGGCGGATACAGTCTTCGTTTTAGGTAAGGGGATAAGGTCGAAAACAGTCAGGCTACTGTGCGCTGCTAGAGGGGGGTATAGTGGTTCGTGGAGCAAGGGAATAGGGAGATTGAAAGTGAAAGTCAATGAAGGAGTAGTGAGAAATAGAAGCCATGCTAATGATGCTGATGCGAGAATGCGGCAAGATGCGGCAATGAAAGAAAATCCAAACGGTGACTGTAATGCGGAATGCTAGCCGTGTGTGTATGTCCCTGATCCCGGTGTTCTAGACCGCAAGTGTTGCACAGTCTTGCTACTCCAAACCCAAGCGATTCAGGAAGCTTGTTCCACAAAAGAAAGTGGTCGTCAGCGTTACGTGCTGTGACAGGCGTCACAGGCCCTTGATAAAGTGACATGTCCGATTCGCTAATGGATAGCGTCGACGCTTTCGAGCTTGGTCGATGTGAAGTTGGGCTCTGACACACGTCGCATCTCGGAAGGAAGGCTCTCGGAGCTGCGCTTGATTCGTAGCTTCTCCATCAGCTTGCCAATGGTGACATACTCCTGGGGCTCCACGACGAAACCGGCGTTCTGTGACTGGAAGAAGGTCATGACGAGCTCGAGAGCGCGTGCAGCTTCCTCTTGGGACGGTGTGATGGGCGAGGAGTCGGCTGATGAGCCTTTGTCGTCGATGGTACCTGGGAGAGGAGGGGGCTGCATCGAATTGGGCATCTGGGTAGGCGAAAGCGACATTCCCTCATCAATGACTGGCAGTGTACCAGGCATCTCCGTCATAGGCGAGTCAAGCGCACCGCTGCTGACGTACTTTGGGGTGATATCGTCAGATGAGCCCGGTGGTGACATGTACTGCTCAACACCGACAAGCATGGGGAAGGTCTGGCTTCGGGGCCTCTGGAAGTTGTTGTTCCCTGGCTGTCCATTGGCAGGCTGGCGGTTGCCCATGAATGGGCTCGGGCCGCATGCTGAATCAGGAGTGAAGAAAGGCGAAGAAAGCGACGTGGGACTTGTGGCTGTATCCGTAAAGACGCTGGACAACGATGTACTGCTCTGTGAATGGAAGGGTCGGCGATGGTTCGAAAAGTCGTATGTGTCGGGGCTTTCTGTCTTGAGGTTTTCCTGACTCTTCTTCGCTGTCATGGTCGTTGTCGCTGGAGATACCCCGCCAGGTGAGGTAGGCGAGATGGCCCCTGGGGTGTGCACATTGGATGGCGGATTCGAAGTCCCCTCCGACTCTTCCGCTATCGAAGTCTTTCGTGACCTTGCGCCACTGAGATGATTCTTTTGCTTGAACTTTTCCAACCAGCTCGCACTGTTTACCTTGAGGTGGCTCTCTGAGTTGCCGACGGTCTGAGCGAAGAAGCGGGCCTTCTCTCGGATCTGGGCATCTGACAGCTGTTGTCCCTGTTTCTGATGGTTTCGTGCCCAGTTCGACAAGGCACGTTCGATATCCGGAAATTTGCCTTTCGACCTTTTTATGGGTGATCGGCTACCATCGTCCTGGTACAAGTACTTCTCCTTCTGGCGCAACACTTTCGAAACGGTACTACAAGACTGTCAGCACGGGAAGAGACATGCAGGGGATGCAGTGGTACCTTCGCTCTACGCCGAACATTGCTAGGATACCGTTAGTAAAAGATCCATGTGAGTCTGGTACGTGGTGCTGGCATACCTCCAATTTCCGTTTGCTTGACAGTGGGATTTTCTTCATGGTATTGGCACATGCGTCTGCGGTCCGAGTCTGTGAGAGTCTTCCGTGGTGTCGACGAAGTGCGGGAATGTGTTGAGCTCGCTGAGACTGGCGTTGCTGATGCCGGTGTTATCGGCGGTGGGGCTGAGGGGAACAGTGAAGCTTGGTAAGTCGACTGGCTGGTCAGCATGCTCGGCCATTGCGGCATTTGCGGCATGATCAGAGGCTGCAGCTGTGGATGCGTAGTCCTTGGTGTCGGATGAGTTTGGTGGGGTGGATGCATGCCGTTCCCGTAGATGGGTTCCATCGGGAGCGGTGCAAAGCCGTTGAAGCCATTATAGTCTTGGACTGGAGACTGATGGTGTGGGTTGTATCCATTATCGCCATGCCATCCAGAATGGTGATCCTCGAAAGGTTCCTGGTGGTGGTGATGGTGGTGGTCGTGATCCATTTGCAACTGGCTCATGTCGAATGGCAGTACGTATTGGAGTGGTGTATCCGTGCGAGTGTGGGAACGAGTGTCCGTGTTGGGTGCGGAGCAGAAGTAGGGTGCCAGACGGGCATATGCACCTGCACCGTGGTGTTGCTATACCTAGGCGGCGTGGGTGACCTCAGAGCGGCCGAGCGCATACATGCATGAGACGAGATTTTGGTTCCTGAGGCGAAACAGCGACAAGTCAATGTACCGCAGTAGCGGGGGTAGCGCTGACAAAAGGCGCTGGGTATGACAGAGGTCAAAACATATAGGTATAAAGCAGCGCGGCAAAGCAATGGCCTTAGATGGAGAATTGAAACTGCAGGGAAAGCCTGGCGCGGCGGGCCTGCAGCGCGTACTTGAGGATAAGTCTGGGGACACTGGTAACAGGCCCTGGCTGTGCGATGCGGGCGCGGCCTACTGCAGCTGGCGGGAGAGGAGCCCTGTTTGTTTCGAGCCCAAGCTTGCCGGCAAGCCTGGCGTGTGCACAGTGATCCTGGTCGCCATTCGGCCAAGCGACGAGCGACGACGTTGGGCTTAGCGTGTGCGGGTCTCTCATCGGGGATGCGCCCCTAGGACAGCGCGGGCCAGAATTATGCGGCCGCCTAGCTAGCTCGCCAGTGCATGCCTCGACGCCTGACTCCTAGCAAGGGCAAATGGGATGTCAAGGCAGCCGGGTGGGATCATCCCATCAGGGCCCTCGCACCGCTGAGCACGTCGCAGCCGGCTAATCTGACGCTTCCCGAACAAGACATGGTCTGAGTGGAAGCGCCATATTGGCTTCGCCTCGTGCGCCCAGCGAAATACATCCTGGCCGTTGCCGTACGCTCGTGGCGCGAAACAGTGGCAGCCGATTCAATGCTGCTCAGGTACGCGAGCGTGTGGCGATTCCCACGGCAGGGGCAAGACGTCAATCATCGGCTGTGCATAAAGGAGAGACAGAAAGTGTCGACGGCTGAAACGCTTTCGGAAAGCTGCAATAATCGCGCCCATGGAAAATCGAGGTTTTGCCGACCAGCCACTCAGGTTTTCGGGAGCGATAATGATTTAGCGCCCGACTGACAGCGTGCCCTCTGAGTCGCCAGCACAACTAACCCCTGCTGATTTCTCCGAGTCGACCGCTGCGCCCGTTAGCAGACCAATAAGGAAAACCGACGCCTCAAAAATTGGGCCAGACAATGCTGATCTGAATCCATCAAATTCCGAAGCAAATATGGAATAAAAACAAATGCGACATCCTGACACCGTTCCAATAACTCCAGCGGCGCCATTCCCACGAGGGTCCGCGACGGCAATGTCTTGAATGACGCCTCCTCGGTAGGGGAAGCAAAGGCCTGGTATTCATAGCTCGCGGACGGTATCGGACCGCCACCAGTCAGTCGAGCATTGGCGATTGGCAGGTACGATCCGCGCCGTAAGCTGCGTTGCCCAGTGCTAGTGTCGTCCTGATGTCGTCCGCGGTGCTACTGGAACGAGCCCTCGGCCAATCCAGGCCGCGAGATCGGCTCCAAGCCTCGCTCTCTTCGTCATCTTAATGCTGCGACCTAGTATTGGTATCGCAGTGAGACAGTGTTCAGCCATCCAGAAGGCCCTTCTGCTCTACTCACTATTTCCCAAGACCGGATCCATAACGCCCGTCGTATCTCGTAATCACGAGACCTTATCTAGCGCTTGACAATAGTGACTGGTCGGGTCGTCAGCTCACGATATCCATTTAGAGAGATAATACTGGGATACATACCGATATCCTCGTCGGCAAGCTCGTGAGAAAGTCCCACACGCTGGGGCTGATGCTTGCATGATTTCCCGTAAACAATAGCGTGCTTGAAGTTGTCGACAATTGTCTTGTGGATGGAATTACACTACAGAGCGGTTAGCGCGTCGCGTTTAAGATGAGGGGGAGACTTACGAAGTCTTCAATGGTACAGGCTGTTGATCGCAATACCACTGGCGCCGAGTAATCCGGCATCTTGCCCTTGGGCTTGGTGTAAACACGAACGAGATTGAGCTTCTCCCACATCTGCTCTAGGAGCTCATCGATGTTCCATCCGTGCTCGGAACTGATGGGACAAGCATTCGGAATTCGGTAGAGCAAATCGAGCTCTTCGATACTGATAGCATCAATCTTGTTCAAGGCGTAGATGACGGGGATATAGCTTCGTCCCTTGGCCTCAATAACATCGATCAAATCATCGACCGTGGCGTCGCATCGAATAGCTACGTCGGCGTTTGCCATTCGGTACTCGTTCAGCACCGCCTTGATTTCGCCATGGTCGATATGTGTGAGGGGAACCGTCGCGGTGATGTTGATGCCTCCCTTGTCCTTCTTCTTGAGCACAATGTTTGGCGGGCTCTTGTTGATTCGAATGCCGAAACCTTCCAGTTCGTTCTCGATAACGCTCTTGTCGGTGAGGGGTTTGTTGACGTCCAGAACGATGAAAATCAAATGGCAGGTCTTCGCGACGGCGATGACCTGTCGTCCACGACCTTTACCGTCCTTCGCACCTTGGATAATACCGGGAAGATCGAGAATCTGGATTTTGGCTCCGTTGTACATGACTTGACCAGGTACTGTAGTAAGCTGTATGTTGTCAGTACTGATTCTAGTAACAAGCGTATACAACCCACCGTTGTGAACTCATATGCAGCGGCTTCGGAGTGCTGTCCGGTCAATTTGCTCATGAGCGTACTCTTGCCCACGGAGGGGAATCCAATGAAACCAACACTGGCAACACCAGTCCTGGCAACATCGAATCCCACACCTCCACCGCCGCCACCAGACGAAGGCTCGAGCAGCTCTCTCTTAAGCTTCGCGAGCTTTGCCTTCAGTTGCCCTGTTCATGTATAAGCATACCAGTATGCAGTATCCGTTCGTGAGGCCATACCAAGATGAAAAGACGTCGCCTTGTTCTTCTGGGTCTTGGCCATCTACGTCTCGTGTAAGTCATCGTGTTACGGTCGCGTATTGAGGTGTGGCTTACTTCGGCCTCGATGTCCTTGATCTGCACACTCTGTTAGCGCGTGGAATGGCGATATGCTGCGGCACTCAATACTTGCCTTGTCTACTGTGGTCGCCATCTTGAATTATTGTGTATCCTGACTTGCTCTGAGCAGGCGTGCAGAGGCGATGTTGTTGTTCAGAAATTTGATGCGACGCACGCCGCCAATGACGAAGCGGGGCACGGCTTCCCGGCAGTAATTTTCACCGCCACTCAACAAGGTTAGCGCCAGACGCAGCACCCTTCCATCTCGGCTTCAATGCATATGTTTCGTTGCGGCCTTCATAAAGTTGAAAGCGTTCGGGGTCTCGGGCTTGGCTCTTCACATCGGTGACCACACCCACCGCTCTGGCTGAGCATATGAGGTGCATCACATGTCGGCGAACTGCTGACCGCCATGGATCCACATATCACAAGCTCAGAACGCGCGAATTGTTACATAATGAAGCAAGCCCAGTCCTGCACAAGCAGCATTGAAGGCAGGCAAGCCAACGCTCTTACCCTCGACAAAGGCTGTGTGTATATTTAAAGCCCGCGCTCCGAACTCTCTTCGTCGGAACTCCGTCTGCAATAACATCATAAACAACGACACTCGCCATTCTTCATATTCCTCAAATATCGATATCGTTACCATGATCGGTCGCAACACTGAAGAAGATAACTTCCATTCGCTCGTGCAGGAGATCAACAAGGTGCTCGGCCCTAGCAACGGCATAGACTCGGATGACGTAGACGAGAATGAGCTCCAGGAGTTGATGAAAGCATACACCTCGGAAGAGTCGGAGTGGAAGAAATACTACTTTCCATCTGAGACATTACAATACACACGGAATGTTGTCGACAAAGGCAACGGCAAGAGTAACTTGGTACAGTCCCCGAGTTTCGAGTCAACGAAGGTGGTGCTAATCGAACAGCTTATCCTAGTATGGGGTCCTGGAAAGAAGAGCCCGATTCACGAGTAAGTTCTCATATTGTGCGACAGTTGACATTAGCATGCCTTACCTCGCGAACAACAATCCATGGCTCCAGTCTCCTGCACGATGAAGCGACCCCGTTCGCCGATCTACTTTGATCGATGTGTCAGCAGGAGACACGCCGGTAAGACGACCTCTCGATGAACCCACCACCTTGCGACATCCGCCTTGGACACATCTCGCACTGTGCCGCGATAGGCCAATACTAACATCATTCAAGCCACGCAAACGCACACTGCATCATGAAAGTCCTCAAAGGCAGCCTAACAGAAACCCGTTTCGCAACCCCCACCGAAGACGACGCACAAAACCAGCGGCCCATGACCAAGACCCAAGAGACTACTTTCGCTGAAAACGAAGTCACATACATGGCTGACACGCTCGGTGTGCATCGTATTTCCAATCCGCATCCCACAGAGTACGCAGTCTCGCTACATTGTAAGCACAAACTTCTTCAGTCCTACTCTTCACCGATGGGGTTGTGTGACCCTTCGACTAACCACCCACAGTATACACCCCACCCAACGCCGCAACCTACGGCTGCAACGTCTTTAAGGAAGACACGTCCGGCGTCGTTCATAACACTACGTGCCACTTCTACTCCGAGTACGGCGTCCGAACAGGGAGGAAGTAGGCTTTGCCTCGCTCACAGATCCGTTCCATCATCGATAGCATTGTTTGGTTCTGGAAGAAGATGTGGAGACGAATACGTGGATACTTTACGAATGGAGCGGCGGGTTGGAAGCGGTTATCGAGTAGGAGTTCGTCGGGGGGAGAGTAGGATGTGATATGGGCTTCTCATTCGACATTGGACCACATTAGTAGGTTTCTTTCACGTTAATTAAAGGCCATTCAACATGCATGCTGTATCTTCACTGGAGTCTAATCAACCCTAAGATCATGAACAAATGCCCTTCTGCCCTTCGACACTCGGCCAATATTGTCAAATCACATTCAGTTCAATTTTCATTTCGCCCTGGCCACAGACACACATCTTCTGCTTTCCCCACATACTCGTCCACGTCAGCCTAGGGAAAAATCGAACACCCTAGAGCCTACATCAAGATAAAAACATACAAAGTAGGTACTCTAAGATTAAGGTAGGCTCTAGGGTGTTTGGTTTTTTTATTGTATAATCCGCAATATACATAATAATTCTGTGATATTAAAGGTTCCGATCCTCATCAGAGGCATAGATGGCCTCACTACAGCTAGAGCTGGGCTGCTTGGGCTCATAGCCCGCTATGATTAGCATCTAGATCTGGAGTTTATAGTTATGCAAGCTCGCCGGACAATTGGTAAAGTCTCCCATGTACGAACTGTGTGTAAGACATACACTAACTTCGTACACCGTTATTTTAGGTGTGCGTCTGCGCCGCTATCTAGCGTACTGGATGCGGTTCTGTCCTCTCGTTGTTTCGCTCTGGATGCGGACTATGGTATTCCCGATGATGACATCCGCACAGTATCGGGCCAAGCTTCAGGTAAGTTCTGACTGTACCTACGAAGTGCATGTGAGACATATACTGACTTCGTACCTCTACCTCTGCAGCAGCCGTATCCTTTTCCCGCAGGCCAACTTACTGTCAGTTGGCCTCGCGATCTGCTTCACATCTGGCATCTAATAAGCCAGGGAAAATCAAACAAAACAATGATGCTGCATGGTTCAACATCAACAGAAACGCATTTGCGTAACTCAGTCACAGCGTCCACCAGTCGCGCCCAAAGATCAACAAAACGTATCGACCATCACATACACAATCCTCACACGCCAACCTAGGAAAAGTCTAGACAGCCTAGAGCCCACATTAAATTTAGGTCACCTACTTTGCAAGTTTTTATCTTAATGTAGTCTACAGACCTATTTAGTTTTTTCTTGTATAAGGTGCTCAGGACACGTCAAAGAGATCAGCAATGTATTCCAACTCCATCTATCCAACCCAGACTTTCTCCTTCACAACCCCACCTCACCCCCATCCTACGGCCCCGCAAACCCAATCTCCTCCCTCTTATCATCCACCACCCTCCCATACTCCAACAGCAACCTAAAGAACCAAACCTCAAAGTCCACATTCCTCAACACCCTATCATGCCACTCAGAACTCCTCTTCGCAATAAGCCTCGCCTTCTTCTCCCCCTCACTCGCGCCATTTCCTCCCTTCTTCGTCCCATCCGCCTTGACTCTCTCAATAACGCCATCGCCATCATCGTCAAAGACCTGTGTACCGCTGAACCACCGTACAAGATCGAGATGTTCGTCACCGCGGAGGGAGAGGGGGATATAGTGGACCCAAGGGCGGAGCCACTCTGCGTGCCATTCGCGGAATAACGCCATTTTGTACGTGAGACTGCGGGACTTGAGAAAGCTGTAGAAGCGGCCGGAGAAGGCGTTGCCGTCCATGTCGAGGAGGTGCTTGTAGTACCATGCGTCTTGGCCATCGACGCGTTCGGTTACGTCGAAGAATTCGTTTTGGGCGTCACAGTCGCCGGGGTCGCATTGGCCGATGTGCGAGAAGTGGACGTCGATGAGGTCTTTGAGGGCTTTGCGCTCGATCGAGGTTACGGCGTAGGTTGAGGTGGGATTGGAGACGGGTTCGAGGACTTTGGCGGTGTCGGGGGCGTTCAGGCGTTGGACGACGTGCTGGCGGTGTTGACGTCGCCAGCCGCCGTTGCGACTGAAACCTCCTGTTGTGGAGCCGCGCCAGTAGAGACTATTGGTCTTGTTCTCCCAGGTTGTGTCGTGCGTCTCGTCGTAGCCCACCTTGCCCATCCAGTACCACGGACTGGGGTATAGGATGTCCTGGAAGCTGGAGATCTTCGACTGTGAGAAAACGGGTGTCAGCTCATGGATGATACTGAAGGCGTTGGGGCGCTCGAAAAATCCGAATGTTGATGAGAATGAGGGTGAGTTGCAGATATCAGAGAATGCGGTTGTGTTGTAGATGAAGCCAAGGTCGCTGGCGGCATACGCGGTGAAGTTGTCGGCAGCGTAGTCTTCGAAGGTTTGGGCCTGAGTGCCGGGAGAACACGATAGCCGCGAATGCGTCCATGTCTGTTGATGCGCAAAGCGATTGAACTTGGTCGTGCTAACTTCCGCAAATCGTGTACCGTCACTCAAGTCTTCTGGACGAGCAGAGAAGGCATTGCGAGGTGCAGTGTTCTTTGCAGTGCGCGGTAGAATTTCGTCCCTCGCCTTTGCCACCATCGACGACAGCAGATTGTCGGGCACGACGACTCGCGGTTCGTCATGCAAGTTGAAGCCCAGATCCATGTCGGGCAGATACTGGACAAACTGCTTCATCATGCCAATGGTAGCCTGTTGTTGCCATTCATCGCCGCCTTGGAAGTTCTCTATGGCGCCATGGCGTACCGCAATTGCAAGCATTGAGCTGTCTTCATGACCTAACGCATTCGCAATGCGAGACCGAATCGTCGATGGTTTGAGCGCCCAGAACGGTAGCAGCATCTCATTGATCGTGTCGTATTCGTCTATCATCACAACACCGTTGCGCGTCGCAAACTCGTACCATTTGTCGAAGTGCGGAGGTGGTGATATCCCGTTCCTGCGCCGGTACTCTCGAACCGCATCAGCGAGAGATTTGGATTGTCGGTTAAGGGTGCCTTGGAAGTCTGCCTCTGCAGCGTCAATCAATTGCGCAGCCGGATGACCCTTGGTCATATCTACCGACACTGGGGCAAGTGGCATCCCAGGCGGAGAAAGTGGTATATCGGTAAGAACACCATGCGCGATGTGTTGATATGTTGGTGGTCCAGTGAAACGTCCGAAAAGTAGAGACCCCACTGCCAGAGCCATAACGATGAAGATAAAGCGACGCAGTCGCATAGAGCGCCGCGAATCCATGATAATGGGAGATACGGACGACTCAAAAAAGTGTACAAGCGCCGCCCCGTCGTAAATGAGGGTAAACAAAACGGTGGAAAAGGTCGGGGCGAAGTGTAGTTTCGCAGCAAGGTGAGAGAATATGGCCAACAGAGAGGTATTTACAGCGCCATATTGAGAGATCTATCGGCTAATTAGCTTGATATTTTGACAGTGCGTTGAGAGTGAAGGCTACGTCTCTGGTCTTAGAACCTGAAAGCAAAAGTTGGGGTGAAAGCCATGGCGACGGGTACGACGCGGCAGGACGCCAGACCCGCGTTTGGTAGCAAGACAGCGTAATTAGGTAGTTCAACAGTATTCTGGAAGAAAGTACGTACCAGAACGAAAACAAGAACATTTACAGTGGTGTGAACCGGCAACATCCACAAGAAGCGCTGCAGGATGCGGAAATTGTGCACATCTCTCCACTCCCGGTCATACTCTCTGTATACAGGTTCCCAGGATATCGTGCTTGCGGTCAAGGACGACTCGGTAAGGATAGACGCAATCCCGCATACAACTGCAACGGCCACTGCGACGTCTCTGAGCGCAGCCAGTCGTTGCGGCCTCGAGGCACCACTCACTGAGGCGCGCCGCAACGTACTCCCGTACGCAGACCCAATCCCTCGCTTGCCGCCCTCGCCCTCTTCTGTCGCGGCTTGTATGGTGGACTCAAACAGGACGAGGCCAGTAGCCGCGAAGATGGCACTGCTGAGACCGAGCGCGACCGTGGTAGGAACTGCGTAGACGCCCAGAACAGCGCTCGCAGAGACAACGAGAACTGCTAGTATGCCGTATGATTCGGTGTGAGGCTGTCGCTCCGGGGAGGTCTTGGTTTCGGCTGCAGGGCCATCGAGAACGGTCCAGGTGGGTAGGGCGAGGTGTTTTGCGACCAATTGGTTCTCGGAGAACAGGACGGTGAAGAATGGAACAAGGGCCTAGGGCATTGTTAGGTGGTATATTATTCTCTGTCCCGTCTGAAAGTACCTTGGTCGCCCAGATGCCCTGCTTATCGCATGCTGCGCGGTCGCATATTACAGACAGGCCCAGCAGCGCGCCAGCCAGCCAGCTCGTCTTCCTCTTGGCGCTGTCGCTATTCGAATATATGCCCACCCAGAAGACAGTCGGCACCCACACTATCAGCCATGATATCGTCGTTATGAGAAGCGAATGCTGGACCGGTGTGTGCACGTTTGCGACAGCCGCGAGGACGCTGTAGAGCAGCGGGGCGAGCAGGTGGTGGTATTTGACGACATTATCGGCAAGTATGGAGACGGCCGGGTGCATTGGAGCAAAGGGTGGGTCAGCGCTCGTCGGAGGGCATCGAGTTGTCTGGCATGTGTTGGGTCGCGCTGTTGTCAGCGCCGGAGAGCCGCAACATGCAACCGTGCGGATCTGCAGGGTCGTGAGTGACGCCATGCCCGAGGCCATATTCATTTCCATCCCCACAACAACAAAGCCATTGTCTCCAGAGCTTGTTTTCAACAATTGCATGTATTTCAATCAGACCCAGTATCGAATATAACTTCATCAAAGACCGATTTCACAGGTTTAAGATGAAATTGAACAGCGTCCGCTGCTCGTCGCAAGGTACTCCACATGCATGCGCATCCTGCAGGAACAGGTCTACCAGATATTTGGATGATATGCTGCAATGGACAACTTAGCACGGGCCCCAACATCTTTCCAGAAGGTTACACAGCGATGCGTGGTACAGCGCGTCAAACAAGCCCAGAAGCCAGGTGGAGCTTAGATGGGTAATTCAGCTGACTCACTTTGTATTGAGCATTAAGACATCTGCTCGCCTTTGCGTATACTATGTCAGATATGGGCTTTTTATCTTGGATTCATCTGCTCTCTGTCTCCGCGCTAACCTACCTAGGTAGGAAAAGACTGGATACCCTGGAGCCTACGTTGACGTTGGGCCACCTACTTTGCAGGTCTTTGTCTTGATGTAGTCTGCAGGCCTGTTCACTTTTTCTCTTGTATGAGGTGCCTCCGCTTATGATCTGCTCCTTCCGACTATCGGTTTGTTTCAATCTCACATAACGCGGCTTAAATCCTATTGATGCTACCATCCCGGAAGGCACAAAGCTCAGCGACCCATCCGACATGGAGATGTTACTATTGGTCAGAACCTGAGACTCGCAACCGCTTGACGTTGAAGACCTCAATGGCCTCGGTCTAGCGATATATCGCTACGGTGCAATATCCAGTGTTTCCTTGTCACGTCAACTGAGGCGTCGCTTCCTATTTCGCATAGAGCTTCGGGCAAAGCTCGCACACAGCAAAGACGAAGGCGCGTCATCGCGTGACGACGCGTTTACGGAAGGCACGATGGCTGTCATCGCGCAAACTTCTCTCTTACTTCTTCCGTCGACACTCTCGCAACCCAAACTACCGTAGCTGACGCATCGGCACACGCCAACGACAAGAGCAGCAATGAGGCCTTCAACAGACAGACAGTGTCACATCCTTCGCCTGCCATACGAGCTTCTCAAGCCCATCATAGCTGATGTGAGTGTGTGCTCTTGCCTCGTGTGGCTGTTACTAACGCTTCGACTGCAGCTAAGCCAACGCGACCAGCTCAGCATAGCGAAGACATGCGTGCACCTCTGGGAGCTTGCATACCCGTTGGCGTACGATCGCATCGTGGTGGAAGCCAATCCGGCCATAGCCGACATCGTCTGGAGAAACCTTGCATCTGGAGTTTGCCTACGATATGTTCGACATCTCGATGTTAGGTTTCTCGGTCAGTCCACCACGAACACGGAGAAGCAGTATCATACTGCGGATGTAGTCGTCGGAATTATGCTTGCTGCCCTCCGCCGACACCAGTTACTGTCCTTTAGGTATGAACGCGACTCAGTACTGCAGACGCTGCTAACGTTGGACAGCCTAACACATGCTGCCTGCACAACATCTATGTTGTCCACAAAGAACACTATTCTGTTGCTGGAGACGCAGCAGCAGCTTGCCCAAGTAAATTTGCCTGGTATTAGAGACTCCGTCGGCATCCGTATCGACGATTACCTACCGAAGTCGGCACAGTTTCACCAACTTCGTAACATCACGTTCCAAATCTGTACCAGTGATACTTCCGATAGCCTGAACAGCTTCATCGTCCAAAATTCGCCGAGCCTGAACAGCCTTCATCTTCGGTTTTCCGCTGCAGGCGAAGAAGCTCCACCTTGCATCTTCACGACACCGACACGGACGCCATTGTGTCGAAAGATATCATTCTCTATGGCTACCAAGCTCACAATCCATGGATGCAATTTCGGGAATATGACGCTATCCTCAGTGGTCCCCATATTCCCTGCACTGCGCGCTCTCGCTGTGGTGGACTGCAAGGAGGCGTTGTTATTCTGCATCTGTGTTCCACCAGCAAAGTTCCCAGAGCTACGGGCATTGATGTTCACGATCACAGACGGCATATGCGGACGCACGCTTGGTCGTTTCATCGAAAAATTACCCTGCCTACGCGAACTCATTGTATACGGAGAGTACCTGTATTGGTCTGACAACTCGAGCCTTCTTGCACATGCGGATACTCTTGAGGTTCTCTCTCTACATAACAGGGTTTCTCTTCCGGTGTTAGCATCAGAAGACGATGTGTCCCCAAGTCTCACTACTCTAAGAGCTCTGCGTCACTTGAGCTGTTACATGGGTAACTTCAATTATGGTATAAAAAGTGGTGTGGAGAACTATGAGAAGGATGTTGTTGGGAAGATCTGCGTAGGTATTGTGTGAACAACTGTGTTTCGTTGTTTTGACTGATTCTGGATTGCAGGAAAATATCATCGCTTACGATAAGCTCAAGACCCTGGGTCTGCACTGTAGCTCCCGCGTCTCTCCTGAGTATCACCCTTGGGTTCATCTTGAGCGTTCTTACTTTACGAACGAGGAGATAAGCCTGATATCAAATAGGGCGCATTCCGAGAAGCTGATCCGGGATGCAACCTTCACTCAGTTGATGCATGAGAACTCCGCGCTCGATAGCACTGCCCTTGAATTTGTGGCTGTTACCGTCCAAAGCAACGTCTTATCCTCCAAAGTACCGACCGGGGCTATGGAGAGAATCACACAAGCCCAACAAGTCCCAAAGAGCATAATGTCGTTCCAGCCAAAACGAGTTCTTCAATCCGCGAGTCAAGTCAGGAAGGAGATGATCGCACGTTATGCCGCAGACAATTACTACTTCCTCGGGGCATACATTGACACCATGACTGAGGAGAGTTCTGTCAGATTCGATGATTGACGATTTTACTTGTCATATGTCCTAAGGATGAGCGGTGTCGAAGAAAGGCGAGACGGAATCAAGGATATTTGGGAAATGTCAGTTATGTAAAGGACATCACACGCGTACCAGCCAACAATACAATGTATCTTAGCAGATCACCTCAATGGTTTTATAATACCCCTCCATCCTCCATCCTACTAGAACCGCAGATCATCTGTCGTCATACCTTCCCAAACCAACCCGTGGACCTCGCACCTCACACGCCAAACAAACATCACGATACCAAACCCACCCCTCCACCCACACCACCCAACGCGCCAAACCCACAACAAACCACGCGTCCTCGCATCCTTCCCTCATCACGATACACGATACCCCACTTCACAGCGTTATCCCCCCACCAACCAACAAAGTCCTCACGCGCCCCATCACAGATCGAAGATCCTCATCTCCACAACCACGCAACTTGAAACGCACCCACGTTCCCTACATAGGAAGTTGGCGATGCTATCGACCCGCCTCACTCAGCATATTCAACGCTGAGGGGTCTCGCTTATAATGTAGGATTGGGGATCGTCGTCGATCCACACCTGATTAGATGTGTGTTGCGGGACGGAGGACGGAAAGGGAGGTGGGTTGTTGGAGGTGTACGTCAGCTAATTTTCATGTAAACAGTACATAAGTGAGGTCCGAGGAACAATATCAATATGCTGTCATCCTGATTTCTACTTGGCTTTCGCCAAGGTGTCACGATCACGATCACCTTTTGACGTGATGTTGTTGTTATCCCGTGGGGTAGCATGGCATGGCATAGCATAGCGGGGTATCCTACCCGTCCACTCAACCCAACCATCCAACCATTCGACCATTTTCATCCAACATACAAACATCACGATGATATCCCATCCACGTAACAAACAACCATCACCACGAACCTTAACGCCTCTCCCTCTTACTTACCTCTCAGCCCGGAAGTCACCATCCCATCCAGCCATCCAGTCGGATCTCACACATGGCGAAGCTAGCCGTTTCGTTTGTGTGAACTAAGATCGCACCCGGCGCCCCGGATCTTGGGAGGACTTTGTGCTTTACCTTCCTCAGTTGACGGCTTAGTTTGGCACCCAACCTCAACGGTCTTGGCCGCTTTTCCAGTCAGCTCTCAGCTCCGTCTCAGCGCTTTATCTCGGCGACCCAACGTTGGGTTGGGTTGGTAAAAAGGACCGGTTGCCCCCGCCTCTCCTTCCCGTCTCTGTGTTGTCAATCTCTCGTCTCTCGTCAGCTTTGGGCTTTCATATACGAATGCGGTCCTGTTTGGGAGCACGTCAATTTCCTTACACAAGACCATCACACCCGCATGTTGGACCTTATGCTTTCGACTGAGATGTTTTATTTGGCATTTCAATCTTGGTTCCCCTCATCCAAGGTTCGTTTCGAAAAAAAAGGTTTCCTCCACAGCCGAATATACAAGAAGATGGCTGGACCATACACACATTGGAAAGACCCCTCGCCTCTCCTCACCTCGCACCAAGGCCACGCTATCCAGCGCAGCCATGATAGCTCCCCCGTCCTCCTCGTCATCGAAAGTATTTGTAAAGTTATATGGGTTTATGTCAAAATAGGCTGAAGTTTCTTGGTGAAGAGATGAAGATTGAGCAAGAAAAAAAAGTAAAAGAGAAAAAACTCCGGGATATTTGTTGCAGGTGCTAGGCTCTCGACGCAAAGGTGAGCAAAAGACGGCAGGTTCGGATGATTGACCTGTACTTTAACCTCAAGGGCGTCGTCAGGGGTATGACGGCCCTCTCCTCGGTGTGCAGGCTGCGTCTTCTTCCTTCGCGGAGATAGATTGCTAAATGGCTGGTATTTGGTTTGTGGTACAGGGCCGGAAGTACGGTGGAAAATGGAGGCGATGGAAAGAAACATGGCAAGAGATGTCGGGACGTCGTAAGGGCGTGTCGAGCGCAGAAGGCTCCTACTCCTCCATCCGTCCGAAGATTTCGTCGTCGTCCTCGTCGATACGGCCACGGCTGCGCGAGTTGGAGTAACGGTAGTCCTCCTCGTCGGCGAAGTGATCGTCATCCATGTCGACGTCCTTGCTCTCGCTGTGGTAGCGGTAGCTGTTGCGCATACTCGACTGCTGCGCGGTGACGGTGGTACTACCTGACAAGGTACGAGCATTCAAGTCAAAATACTTTGCTGGTAGCGGGGGCACGGGTGGCACGTCCGGCGGGAGCGCAACGGGTCCCGTCTTCGGGGTGCCGTACGAGCAGCTCAGCAGGCCGACGGCGGCAGCGAGGTCAGCGTGGTCATTGGCATCGTCATGGTAGGAGCCGGCAACCGAGGTGCCTGACGTAGTGGGGCGGTCAGACACGTTGCTCCACTGGCGATAGTGGTGGCCATTACCATTGTCGGAAAAGACGGTGGACTGGTAGGATTGGCTGTAAGCGGAGCTGTTGGCCGAGTAGCGCTTGAGGGAGCGGGTGCCAAAGTGCGAGTGAGGGTAGGATCCTACGGCATGGTCGTCGAGTTGCGGGGGCGGGGTAGTTTCAGTGGAGCTCAACTCCTCACGCAGGTCAGACGAACCCGAGGCGGGCGGGGACGAGCGGTCGCTGTTCTCGCCGTCGCTCTCCTTGTTCATGGCGACGAGGACCGAGGCGGCCTCGAGCAGCTGGACCTGCTGGTGCTTGGAGATGAGCAGCTTAGATGTGTACTGCCATTCAGGCGTGTGCTCCCAACTAGAAGAAAAGTCAACGCGGAACTATCAAGAAGCATGGCAGTCTATGTGTGCGTGCGAGAGAGGAAAGGGCATTCGTCATGAGTCGTGAAAGTATGTGGGAGGGCCATAGTCGGCCAAGGGTTACTAACAGGTGCTTGGTCAGACAGCTGCTGTGCTTGTAGCCTTTCCCACATTTTTCACATCTCAGATCGCTACCACTTCGCTTGCCGTCGCCCTTGGACAGGCGAGAGCCCTCGCTCGCGCGACGGTTCCGCGATTTGGAGTTGGCCTTGTCCTGCTCCAACATGGTTGCGAGTGTCGGTCCGTCGGTGAGAGCCTCGCTTTTAGCCGCCGCCGCACCGTAACTGCTGGGCCCAAACTGCGCGCCATTGCCGGGCATGCTCGACGCCATTGTGGAGTGGAGGGCCATGCTGGGGCCCCGGAACTGCGATGTCGGCTTGGACGAGCGGCGCGGGCCATTGCTACTGCCTCCCTCGAGCGGCGCCCCTGACATGCCCTTGGCCGCCGCAGCAATGGCCGCGACATTGGAGGCAGGCGTCTGGCTCATGCTCTTCCGGCGTGTGACGCGATGCGCCGGGTTGAGGTTGGCGGCGGATATCGAGTGCGAGTGCGGGCGGTTCTTGGGGAGCGAGCCGGCCATGGTGCTCGACGAGTGCCGTTGTTGACTGGCGGGTCGGACGTTGATGGGCTCCTGGCAGGCGGCACGGTCAGCGCAACTCGGGGCGGTCAATTGGGATAATGTGTATAGGTACCTTGTGTACAGTCATGATTGCTATAAAAAAGTCACCGGCCGGGTGTTTGCTTTGTTGTCCGCTTCGTCAGCAAGGCAGCGGAGTAGTTGCACAGCCTCCGAGGTGTCGGAGGTAATAGAGCGAGATGCGGCTGAGAGACAATGCAGGGCAGCGCAGGCGTGGGCGGTAGAAATAATAATCCAAGATGTGTGCGAGAGGCGTCTGCTAGCTGGAGAGGCGCTGATTTCAAAAATAAAGCGTGTGGACAGGTCCCGGAATGCTATTCGACAAGTGGGGTGATGCCCGAGCTTCTGATATGGAGTTACTGTGTCCAACAGAGAGTCTCGATTCGCAGCCTCAGAAATGCGGCCAAATATCCCCGTTTCAGACCCGGTAGCGGTAATAATCAAGGTTAAGGAAGTGAGTGAGATGGGTGCAGCGGTGGCAGCGCCCAGCAACTTTTTATTATTTGGTCGCAAACATGGCACGCGGCATCTGGGGTCAGCCGGACGCTCACAGCCCACGCCCGACCAACGTGACTGATAACCAGACCCCGGCCGCCTCCTCCTCAAAAGGTACGCGGCAATGCCGTGGCTGAAGCGACAAACGAGGCCGCCCATGCTGCCGCTCCTATTAAAGACCGCACGGATCCGTGGCGGGCAGGGAGCGCACCATCGCCCTCGCCCTCTGATTGCATGTTTCACCCATGTTGCTGCTCCAGACACCTCTGACTTTGGCTGCCTCTGCTGCCTCTCCTGCGCATCCCCATGCACAAATCCAGGAACCCTTTGTGCGTGTTCCTGGCGCAACGCAGGTTCTCGAGGCCCCTCGTTAGTGCGCCATACTGTGTGCGTCCCCGCGGCTGTGATTCGAGCGTGATTTCATGTCAAGACACTTGGTCCCGCAATAGGGAACGCCGATCTCGAGCTACTTTGCCCATGGCCGCTTGGGCCAGTCCGGTTCGGGCGGATCAAGGACACGGGGAACCGAGCGCTTGTCTGGAGTGCTGTGGCTAAGGCGAGCCGATCGCTGCTGTGTCGGGCTGCGCGCGCTACACAAGAGATCATCGCCTGCCAACAGGTGTTTGCGCGACCCTCTCTTTTCCTCAGTGCAGACAATGGGCAGTTTGCATTATGGCGACTGATGGCAAAAGACTTATCTGACTCCACTCACCTGGGCACCCACTCGCAAACCGCTCGGATAGCAGGACTGGCTTGGCGTCATCGCGATCGGTCGCGCACACGGCGTCTGTGCTGCACATTATCGCGCAAGCCACCACCCTGTCGTCTTGCTCGCTGCTGTGGGGTCGCTGGGTGTTGAGTGGTGCGGCACCTGTGCACCACACAGTCAAAGACACATGACAGCCTGCCAGCCGTACAATAAAACCGCTCGCTCCTGCGCTCCTGGCTGGACCACCTGTCGTCCTACCACCGCTGCGATCGGCTAAGATCAACGGGTCGAGATCGTGGCCTGTCGCAGGGATGCATAGAGTGCCACAGTGACGGATACTCACTGGCAATGGCATTGTTCGTTGTCGTCGGAGTCCGGGCAGCAGAATGCCATCCACGCGTAGTATCCACTTGTCGGTGTAGCCTCTCACCACCAATAACCACCTACGGTAGAGCTGCCGTCTGGCATCAAACTCAGCGGTCCGCAGCTTTGGAATTGGGTACACTGGGCATGTGTAAGACGTTCCGGTGGTGTCTTTGCCCATGCAGGTGCTAGAGGGTTGCAATTCGCGCCTGCCGATTCGGGAGTCCCACGGCCTTGGAATAGCTTCGCCGCCAGATTGCGCGCCTTAGCTGAGGGGTCGACAACGCCACAATCTGCATATCCTCACATCACTGTACTATGGTATAATAATTGCATGTTGCACATAACTGCGTCGAGTAACAGATTCCGGTGTCTTGACGGCCCAAGTGAGGAGTCAGGTCCACCGCGGACAAAACCTCCGCGTCAACCAGGATTGAGCTTGTTGGTTGCACGTGTCAAGATTTAGTCCAAAAGTTACTTGGTTTGGGACGGAACTCGCCCACGGTCACGGTGAGAGTGGGCTGTGCGGATCTGTGCCAGCTAAGTTTCACGTCAGCAATGTGACGTCAGTCATTACTTGATACAAAAAAAGTTAAGTTCCTGCATCGGAGTGGCATATCCTCGGCATGCATCGTGGGGGGCTGGCCAGATGCACACACAGTGACGTGTGTGCTTTCGTGATTCTTTTTACCGAGACGTGTTTGATGCGGGCCTTGTCGGCTTTGCGGATGTTCGCGGAATGTATCTAGATACTTCTCCAGCGGTAAACGGTTGTGAAAACGAGCATTATTGTCTGTTTTCATGTGGAGACGGTGTAACAGACCGCCATGTATGTATGCATCTAGTGTCTTCTTGCAAGCAGTCGCCAACAAGAAGCAGAGGCCATCTCAACGATGCTTTGTAGGGGCCGGTAAAGCAGCTAAGAGCGAGGTTCAATTTCACATCGCATAGTTTCTGGCTGTGCCTCAAATTGCAGCTTCAACAAGCCTCACTGCACTCTTACCAGGCCGACATGGCTCAGAGCTCTGGAGGTAATGTATCCGCAGTCAAGATGGGTCTTGCCGAGCAGTTGATGTGATGCAGATGCTCCAGTCACCAGTGTAGAAGGCGTAGGAACCATGACTCTCATCATGAGCTCTGTCTACGGGTGCTGGATAGAAACAGCATCGATAAGCCAAATAACTGAAGTAGTTGTGTCGGAATGCATTCGCACGCCAAGTACTTTCCGATCTTAGTAAGTCAGTCACGTGCACGAATTCGTCACTGCTCTCGGCGATCTCCAAAGCATCTGGCTGCAACATCGCAACCGCTATCGCCTCATCACGACGCAAACAACCGCCGTCCATCACTCTCCAGGTCTTTAGAACCTCAGTCGCCGCTTAATCCCCCGCAAAAACCGCACCACAGCCCTATCACGACTTCACGATGGCGGACGCTTCCGCGCAACCCAAGCCCAGCAGCAGCGTCAAGCTCGTGCTGCTAGGAGAAGCAGCTGTTGGAAAGGTATGGAGCAGGCAGACTTCATCGCGTCTCTAGACTGACGTCCATCAGTCATCCCTCGTTATGCGCTTTGTCAACAACGATTTCCAAGAGAACAAAGAGCCTACTATCGGAGGTACGTACACAGCCACATGCGGAGATGCTGCTCAACCACCACCCGCATTCCCATATTACCGGACTATGACTAACCCACTGTTTGACAGCCGCGTTCTTGACGCAGAAATGCAACCTACCAACCCGAACCATCAAGTTTGAGATCTGGGATACCGCAGGCCAAGAACGCTTCGCCTCGCTCGCGCCCATGTACTACCGCAACGCCCAAGCCGCCCTCGTCGTCTACGACATCACAAAGCCCTCTTCCCTCACAAAAGCCCAGCACTGGGTCGCCGAACTGCACCGCCAAGCCTCCCCAGGCATCGTCATCGCGCTCGTAGGAAATAAGTTCGATCTGGCGACCGCCGCCGATGAAGAGAACCCAGAAGACGCAGATGACGCCCCCGCAGCTGAGGGCGAGGACGAGCCAACAGAGGACGGAGCCGACTCGAGGAGAGTACCTAGCAAGACTGCAAAGGCATACGCAGACGAGGAAAGCCTGCTGTTCTTCGAGACGAGTGCAAAGACGGGGCACAACGTTGCCGAGGTCTTCACCGCTATCGCAAATGCTATCCCAGAGACGAGCTTGAAGGGGCCTCGTGGTGTGGGTGGACAGACAAACTTGAACAGGCAAGAGGATGCGCGGGTGAACCTGGGCAGCGCACGGACGGAGGGTCCTAAGGAGGGTTGCGCATGCTGAAGAGGTGCATGCGGAAGTGGTGTCGTGTGGATTTGCGAATGCTCACGGAGGAGCTCGATAGCTGCGAAGACTTGCGGGCACAATTGATGTGTTCAACTCCGGATTATCATCATTAGGCGTTGGATGGAATGATATACTTGTATTGCCGTCAATATCATGTCGTATATACTGCGTGAGACGTGCGACTGGGTTGTCTGTCCCAGGCAGCTTGACTACACCTACAATGACCTTTGACTGCTTCCGGTGTTTGGACTACACTCTGCAATAGAGCTTCCCAAGCAGGAACACTATGTTAAACGGCTATGAAATTTGACGTTGCCGCATACATGGTATTATGCAAGACGATGTATACCCCAGCCTGACTTCCCTCAAAAAGTCGTGTCTGTTGCCGCCATGTTCGTCCTTGCTTCCCTAAAAGACGCGCCAAGAGCTATCCCTTCACTCAGGTTGGCGCGCCAACAACCATCCCTGCCAGGGGCTCTAATATGCCCCACTTGCACACACGACGCGCTCATTTGCACTCAACCACCAATCTTACGATACCAGCCATGGCACCAGCTCATCATAAACGTCTCGTACTGCCGGAGGTACTAGAAAAGAAGGCCAAACCCGCGAAATGGGTTGAGAAACTCTTCTGGGGCGTTCACGATGCAGATACCTCAACGCGCAGGAGCACGCGCAGCGGTACGCGTAAGAGCGCGCAAACCCTCCAAAGCGAAAGCACCGGCGACTCGCATTTCTTCTCCCTGCCGCTAGACATCAGAGAACGAATTCTTCATTACACTCTTGTGGGGACCATAATCCGCTTTCGCCACTACAACACCTCTGTCATGGCTCAGTATACCCAAAATGGAGACGAGTCCGTCCGTTGGACGACTTTCGATGAATCCTTCCATGCGGACGGTCTTCCCTCGGACTGGGCACAATTCAAAGACGCCAAATGGAATAGCTGGAAGGGTCTTCCGGGGTGGATGATGCTCAACAAACAAATGCTCCATGAGTGTGTCCACCAATTCCACAGGGAAGCCATCTTTTGGCGAAATAACTTCTTCTTTACGCCGATCTATCCCTCTGCAAAGCCCCTAGGCTTGTTTCGTCTCGACAAAGCGAGAATTGTACGGATCAATACTAAAATCAATTGCCATCGGGAAGGGTGGGAAAGTCTGGAGGAGGACAAGTACTCTGTCATCCACCTGTATGGAAAGCAAGA